AAGGTCTTGTTTTATTGAGATTTTAGGATATCTGCATTTTTAACCACTAAGGACTACATTTTCTTCTATTTGAATTCTGTGTGTAATTTTCTATCAAAACAACTTAGTTTTTGCACTGTTATTTACCTTTATTCAAATTCTAGAGATTTTCAAGTTTCCTGAAAATGGTCGGACTAAATCGTCTTGGCCAAAACGTTTTAGCGTTAAAACGTTTTACAAATGTAATGTAAATCCAGATTTTCGCAAGAACTCTCGGCTAAGAGCGCTCAGCTAAAACGTTTTAGGACCTTAGTCATAGCCGAGACGTCTTAGCGTTAAAACGTTAAAAAGCGAGTGTAAATCCATCTGTTTTAGCTAAGAACTCTTAGCCCGGTTTTATGCGTTGCGCTGAACGAAAAAATTGAAATGTCCTGATTACATATGTCGCATGGTCCAAAAATATGGAGAAGAACTAATTCGCCTAGCGTTCTATCATAACCCTAATAAATGAACAAAATCTTCCTACCCTCCCTAACGCTTTTAACAATGCTCTCTTTAGGATGCATTATTTATCACAAAGTATAGAAGCGGGAAAGGAATAGCTATGTTGACTGGACCATCCTTCAACCAGTGTTGAACTGCTTTTTTCATTTTACATGTATGCCTTCATATCTCTAAGACGTTTTAGAAAAACAGGTGTCTCAATCATATTTCGTAAGACGTCTTGAAAATGGTGGTGTAAACTCAACATGATTTTACTAAAACGTTTTAGCTAAGACGTCTTGAAATGTCGCGTGTATTGTAAATAGGGCCATGGCACAGTTGTTGGATTTACACTAGAGCCCTAAGACGTCTTGGGTAAAACGTTTTAGCGTTAAAACGTTTTACAAATGTAATGTAAATCTAGATTTTCCCAAGAGCTCTCGGCTAAGAGCGCTTAGCTAAAACGTTTTGGGACCCTGGTCACAGCCAAGATGTCTTAGCGTTAAAACGTTTTACAAGCAAGTGTAAATCCATCGGTTTTAGCTGAGAGAGCTCTTATCCCGTTTTTTACGCTGCGCTAAACGAAAGGTTGAAACTTTCTGTTTACATGTGTCGCATGGTCCTTTCTTTTCTCTTATCCCTTGTTCCCAATATCATCCAAAAAATATCGAGAAGAACTGAATTGCCTGGCGATCTATCATAACTCTAATATATGCACAAAATCTTCATGCTCTCTTTCGTGCTTTTAACAATGCTGTCTTTAGGACATATTTTTGTGAAACCGATGCATTCTTTATCACAAAGTATAGAAGCGGGAAAGGAATAGCTATATTGACTGAACCGTCCTTCAACCAGTACTGAATTGCTTTTTTTCATTTTACATGTATACCTAAATATCTCTAAGACGTTTTAGAAAAACAGGTGTAAACTCAATCATATTTCGTGTGACGTCTTGAAAATGGTGGTGTAAACTCAACATACTTTTTCTGAAACGTTTTAGCCAAGACGTCTCAGAATGCCGCGTGTAGTGTTAATATGGCTAATGTTGAAAACCCTTCAAAAGTTCATTTACTCTTACAAGGATCACAATTTTAATGTGAAATCACAATCCATATGTCAATTATATCACATAGTTACATTCTAATGGTGTTTTAAGTTGATTCAAATGGAATTACTTGTTAAATTAAGAAATTAAGTGACTCTTGTCATGTTATTTAGCCCTACCTACGTATACCCATGATGCCATCTATTTTTCCATTGGATTCAATTCTACAGAATCATACGATTTGGGGAATGTGTTGAGCGTACATCATCCTCTCAGGGTGTATCATTAACATTCTAAGGTTTAATTCTCTATTTTGTTATGGTTAATATCATTATGATATATAAAATCGCAAAAATAACAGTGTAACTTTCCAATGGTGTGCTTAACGTGGGGCTAGCCATGCTTCACCACGATGAATAAATGCACGTAAACCTTTGGTTTGTAAAATCGTGTTTTTAAAATACGTAATGCTTGATTTATCGGTTATTAACTTATTAGACGGACCAATTTCATTTTTGTATTTAACGACATTTTGGATGATAGTTTTTTTTTATTTCTATGCCCCTCATAGTAGGTATTGAATCATGACAATAGAACACATGGAACATCGTTAAATTCCAAGCAGAAATAAATGTGACACAAGTCGTATTTTGTAGAAGTGGTGACATATTGTTAGAGCCACCATGTTTTCGTAACCAGCACCGAGGGACAGTATTCGGCATCTGTATCACTTGTTACACTTTTTAGAAGGTAATATCTTGGGTCTCAATATAATGCCTTGTTATTGAGGAAGCTACTAACTTCTATTTTTCTCATTTAGTGTAAAACTGAACTTCAACAGTTTCTAATTTCAGGGGTTAGACCATGTCACATGACTTATATGGTGTATTCTGATTGGTCGAATTTTGCACATATTGCCAAATTTTGTTAGAGATTCCCTTTAGTTCTTGTCAGGTAGTCCTGTATTGTCTTCTAAGATTGAGTTTTTAAATTGTCTATATAAGAGTTGATGACTCTCTCCAAGTCCCTGGTTCTCTCTTTTCCATTGCAAGTTTAATCCAATAACAGTACACAAGCACATATCATTCACATTAAAAATTTATTTTTTTAAATAAATAAATAATTGATTATGAATTTTGTTGTATGATGCATAGACATTATATGTCATTTCATATCAATTTAGTATTAAGCTTATGTCACCTCACATCACTGATGTCACCTCAAATCAATGTAATATTGAGCTGACATCAGCTAATGCCAATGTAATATTGTGCTGATATCACCTCATAGACTTGTAGTAGTATTAAGGTGATGCACCTCAAATCAATGTAATATTAAGAAGATGTAGTATTGAGCTGATGTCACCTCATAGACATGTAGAAGAATAGGAATGATGTCACCTCATATCACTGATGTCATCTCAAATCAATGTAATTTTGAGCTGACATCAGCTGATAGTAATGTAGTTTTGTGCTGATATCACCTCATAGACATGTAGTAGTATTAAGATGATGTCACCTCATATCAATGTAGTATAAAGTAGAGTCCATTTCACTGCTTCATTTCGTCAGTAGAATGGCAAAAATAAGAAATTGGGAGACCATTGTGCAATAATATATGGAAAAGTATATTCCTAATGTATATGAATGACATTTGTATATTTCAGATTTTTTAGTTTTTTGTGCAATAAGCCTGTGCCGTCTTGTAATTTGAAGAATTTCAGCCATGTTAATCTTATTGAAAATAACATGGCAGAGAAACATCCAAATATAAGAGGCCACACACTTTATAAGCCAAACTAGAAGCAATCCAAGATATACAAATGTCATTCATGTACATTATGAATATACTTTTCCATATATTATTGCACAATGGTCTCCCAATTTCTTATTTTTGCCGTTCTACTGACGAAATGAAGCAGTGAAATGGACTCTAGATGTTACCTCAAATCAATGTAATATTGACCTGATGTCAGCTAATACCAATGTAGTATTGTGCTTATAAATATCACATCTTAGCCATGTAGTAGTATTTAGCTCATGTCACCTCATATCAATGTAACACACAGCTAATCTCAAACCGCATCAAACAGCGCTGTTTACGAAAAAGTGCTGGACAGCGTTGTAAAATCAGAACTGTACATCGCTGTTTTCAAAAACAGTACTGTACTAAACTGTTCAAAACAGATGATGCTAGAATAGCATTGTACATCGCTGTACAGTTCAGTACTCGAACTGCACTGTTCAGTAGTGTTTACAGAGCTGCAAGATGATGTTGCGGATTGGGGGTGTATACTATAGTATAGTAGTACAAGTCCAGAAAGTTAAACTGCATTTCAGATTGACCATGAATGCTGTTTGCAGTGTTTTACATGTGTATCAAATTATAAAAGCATGTATCTTCTACAAGGCATTTACACAATTAAACGCCAATAGTTTTAAGTTATCGCAAAAGATTACATAAGTGATTTGTTACAGATACGGACTACATGGCTTAAGGCAACAAATCTAAAATTTCCTGAAAATTGAATGGCAATAAACCGTGAGCTAAGCGAGCAGTGGTGGGTTTCGGTGGGTTCTCCTTCCAAGAAATTTAGGAAAAATGAGATTTGATTGAGTGCTTTTTAGAGTAATGTAGACCCATTACATATACTTTCAAATTTGAAGGAAAAAGTGACCAAATATGACCTTAATTTTGAAACCCTTTCTTGAGGCCCCCCCCAAAAAAAAATCCAGATTTGTATTGAACTCAATGGGGTCAGATTTTGGTCAATTTTTTCCTGAAAATTCCTGAAGACCTTAAGCCATGTATGTGTTATTGCGCAAGACTCCCATTCATATGTGGGGTGTCAAAAATTTGACACGCAGTATTTAGTCCAGATGTTTGGAATTTTGACACCATACTTTGTCCTGGGGTATGACGCAAATCTTTGAATGGTACACTACGGAAGAAAGTTTTAACAAATGACAATTTAATCACTCCAATCATTCACTTTTGATTTGCAGATAAAACACACTGTTTTGAATGAAAATACATAAGGCATCCTGTTATTCAGGAATTGAAATGGGTTCTTACTCCATTCCCATGTTGTACACAAATATGACTTTCAAGGTAATCATTGTCTTGACTCTGAACCGATTACGGTAAGTATTGCTCTGTACATTCTGAGGATTTGTCGCAAAGGTGAGATCACTTCATTCATTGGCAGTTGCTTTCTATGTGATAATTGCAGAACATTTTGAGATGAATCTGCTGATTTTTCGACGTGGAATTGCAGAATATTTGGAGATGGAATTGTTGAATACTTATGGATTGGATTGTATCGTTGAATATTTCCATTTGAAGATTGACTGCATCTTATTCCACATACATTTTGAAATATAAGCAATAATTTGATGGCACCATTTCATGATGCATCTTGGGTATAAATAAGGCATTCTGGGTAATTCAAAATAAGCATTTCAGGACTCTTGGGAGCTACATACTTCCATTGCTACGTAGCAACTTTTATATCAGTCGATTGCTTGATTTCTAATCTCACTAAACTAGATTCAAATTCATCCAGTTCTTCCACCAAACGTCTCCTTTTAAACCTTATTGCTTGGTTGATTACCTCTCGGATGACTAAGCACTTCATGTCTATACTGCCTTTTAATGAGTCAAGATTTTGAAAGATGGCGCTGTAATCTGGAAAACAAGAAAATTCAAATTGTAAAAAATAGAGTTTTTTAATTTGGAAAACAAAATGACTTTCTCTACAAAGAAAATGTAGATATCTTAAGGTTCACAACTCTTAATTTAAAAAGCAAAATAATGGTTATTTTGAGTTTGTCTTCTTCAGAATTGATTGTTTAGATAATAAACATTTTGCAGTCTTTGATTTAGATTTACATCCGAACTTTAATTGCCGTGTTGTGACTACAACTCCACTCTGTGCACTAAAACTATTTTCTGTTGTTATTGCTAAGTTTTCACTATTGGCAATATTTATTCAAAGTGCATTTCTGGTAATTATTCAGGATATTTACTTTTTTCAACCTGAAACACTGTCAAAACTGAAACTGAAATTTTGAAAAAATGATGTTAGCTGCATACATACAAATTACTGAAACTACAACCAATATTTCTTGCTTACCTTTTCCTGGACGTTTTACTTGTTTTATTAGTTCTATTTTTAACTTTTTGTTATGCACTGACACATTTTCTCGTTTTAGTGTCTTTTTCAGCTTTTTGGTATTAGTTCTTGTTATATTGTTTGTGATTGGTTGATCGAATCCATTATTTTCTATGTCACTGTCTGTTCTTGTTAAACTATCTGTGATTGGTTGTTCTTCACCGAGTCCATTGTTTTCTGCTATGTGATTGGTTATTGGCTTGACATTTTCTGAGACTGAAATGAACAAATCAAAATGATATACAAGGCATTAACATGCAAAATGTCACCACCTGCCATTTGTTACAGACACCATGTTACAGATACTGGCTGCCAAACACCAAACACCGAAATTCAATAGGATTAAATTTTGGTGAAGATGCTATTTTTGAAAATTCATTGTTCTTGTGCAAATATATAAAGACCCCATTTTTATTTGTAACCTTAGAAACGAGTACTCAACCACACCAACCTTTACACTAAAGTTGCAAAATTAACAACAGAAACAATGAAACCTTTAAATACACAAACATTAAGCAGTTAAGGCATGTTCAAATGTACAATACATTGCAAATGTTGAATAATAAATATTGTTAAACTTGAACAGTGAATCCTGTAAAGTGTAACACCTCTATAAGTGGAACACCTCCCAAGTGGAACACTTTTAGAGGTACCAATATTATTGTATTCCACTTAGCCAGGTTTTACTGTACTTTTCTCTATTAATGCAAGTGAACCCATCCAAATCCATACCTTGATATCAAACTACATGTATTGTAAAACCTGTCTAATCTACACACCAACTGAACCTGAAGTGTTTGGATTGGATTGGATTGGATTTTGAGGATTTTTAATATACAATATATATAATGTTTTAGTCAATGGCAGATTAAACAAGGCATTAGCATGCAAAATTTCACAACCAGCCATTTGTTACAGATGCCGAGCACCAACCGCCAAACCATCACCAAAAATGTTGGAACCTATAAGAATATGTCACTACTTTCAATGGTGACATAAAAATGGGACCAAAAAAGTGTTCACATTGATCAGAAGTGTTCGTCGTTCAGGTTTTACAGTAATTGACATTTTTGAGTTAAGCTGCGTCTATGATGATTTTGTCGTGAAGCTGCAGATCTACCTAGAGTTGGTAAAAGTTTTGCTTTAGTTGGTGCAAAATTCTTGTCTTATAACTCCTATCACATAAATGATCAACCTCCGATCACAGGGCTTCAAAATCCAGAATATATTCTTTCTTTTTACCCCCTGCGATAAGCAGTTAGCATTTCCCCGATTAAGAACTCGCAATCTGATTGGCTGTCGCAACACTGCGACAGAAATCATGTACAAGTCATTGCACATAATAAGATTACGTGACTCAGTTTAATCGGGCGCTTCCAAATTGGTTATAGCAGGGGGAAGAAGGAGGTACGGATTCTGCACACCTGCTTAGGAGGATGATACATGGTCAAAGCTATCAATCATGGTAACCATTATGCAGCTAACTTTGGGCTAAATTTTTGATGGTACAAGTAAATGTATGTAAATTGTACCTATTTCCAGGACATTTTCTTCCAGGATTTCAAGCCTATCAGGGCTCAGCATTTCAATCCCAGAATCCTCTGAAATTTCAGGAGTTCTTCCCATTTTTGGATATGGCGAACTTGGACGACGTAAACGAGCATTTCTTCCCAAAGGTCCCTTTCGTTTCTTTGGATTAGGGGACCTGGAGGTACCATCGGGTATTGGAGTGGAAGCACGGCTGCGTTTGGGGGATCCTGATAGGACGGCTTCATCTGTCTCATCAATCATCATATTCTGCAGCAAAAGAAATAGTTCAAGAATCATTTAAGTATAATTGCAGCAAAAGAAATAGTTCCAAAATCATTTCAATATAATTTCTGCAAATATTATTTAACAATCTATATTATCTAGGCTAACAATTTTTTTAATTAATCATTGTATTGATTTTGAATTTGAAATTTAATATTGATTCAAACATGACTCTGCTCTATTAGTCTCTCATCCAATCAAATTGCAGCATAGCCTTTCTGAATTCTTAAAGCAGATATGAAATGGTATTTTTAACCTAAGGGAATCAATATGATTTTTTGATAAATGTATTTGGACATGTTTTCTCATCAGTAGTGTGAAAATTATTTTACTCTAACGATCGTTATAGCTGCTTAATAAGCAATATTCGAATTGGTTGTGACTTTATTGGCCCCCACGTGATCTCTCACTGGCCCCCACGTGGCCCGTTTTGGTCCATTAGATCATGACGTCATAATGCCAAAATGTTTTGTTATTTGTTTACACAACAATCCTATGGTTGCCGTGACGTTGTGATTACTAAGGAACCAATAAACCAAAGCTATGTTTTGTATATGACGTTACTAATCACGTGGGGGCCAATTTAATTGATCAGTTAGTTTTATTTCGTTATCTATGAACGTTAGCAGTTATCTAACATTTATTTTATAATGGCTATCGCAAGAACACTACGTTGGGCTTACAATGGAGAAAACCGCATTTTTGTAGCTGCAAGTTGAGAAAAGCTATTTCAGTTGTCCTTTAATAGATGAACATGGTTCATTATGCAATCTGTATCTCTGAATCTGCATTGTGACCTACAGTACATATCATTCTTTATTCCTTTATGAGAAGTTTCTATTAATGAATTTACATCTACATCTAATGGTTTTATATAATGAAATTGGTGTGAATGTTTGATTCATTGTAAAATATGAATGTCTTACCTTATTAACTTTGAATGGATTTCCAAACATGTGAGATCTGATTGGTTGACTATCAATTTCCCGTAAAGCACTTGGAGATTTTTTCAAATACTCCTGGTAATTTCCCATCTGACCAATCGGAATGCTGTGTAGATCCTCTTCATTGGTAACGCGTCCAGCATTTGTGATTGTCCGTAAAAAGTTGGTACGCATTTTGGTGATTTGGGTGAGAAGATTTTTTCGTGGAATGTCGAATGCATTTCTGAAAGACAATTCAGAAAAACAATTACTTTTGTGGACTCGAACGTTTGTTAGTTAGAACTGATCATTCTTCACACACCATCACATAAACATTACAAAAAAGATGGGATGGGGCTTGACTTCTTCCCACTTCAACTTTCTGGAATGGAGAAGATATATTATAATGGGGTGACATTTGCAGCAGCCAACAGTTGAAAACTTCTTGTTTTTTCCAAAAACACCCATTTTGAAGTATTCTACAATACCTTCCATGCAGGGTTTGGGGTTAGGGCCAGTCCACTGGTCATTTGCCAGTACTTTTATTATGGACCAGTTGATTTTTTCAGTAGGTATAGAAGAAATAACATAGCAATTGGTCCGTAATGCCACATTGACCAGTTGCTCTCAGAACCTTACCTCAACCCTTGCGCCCATTGTAAACTTTCAATAACTTTCCCAGTCAATTTACTTTGTTTTACCCGCCGGGTGAGAAATTTAATTGAAATCATCGTATAAAATGACATATCGTACCCAGCTTTGATTTAAAGAAAACTACAAGATTATCCTGAAGGTGTACCAAAATACTCGTATGTTACAATAATATCTTTATGTGTAGATTAATCACGCTGGTAATATATTAAATAACTCAACTTCATTTACTTCAGAGTATGATTGTTTGTTTTTTCAACGTTTCAATAGCCATCCAACTCGCTTTATCAAGATTTTATTCAAAATATATTATACTCTGAACTAAATGAAGTTGAGTTATTTAATAATTAAACTTATTTCAATCACAGATTTCTTCTATGTTATTTCCATTTGTGAATTAAGAGATGCTCAGGTTTATGTAGGACCATGAACTTTTACCTAAAATACCAATACCAATACCTTTAACAAGAATATGACTTTCAATTTACCTGTACATCTGGGGCTTAACTTTAGGGTCAGGGACTGCTAATGTAAAACTGCTATAATCCGTCATCTCTTGCTTTAAATTTGACAAATCGTTGGATTTTAATAACTGATGGAAGTCCTTGCGCTCTAAAATGGACGTCTGTTTCTTGAAACTGATCTTTATCCCATCTGGTCTTGGCACTGATTGGCCGACAGAATTCACAAGACGCATCAATTCTGTCTTAGCCTGAAAAATGAAATCATTGATTAAACAAATTCTGAAAATTAAGAAACAATGCATATCAAATTATGCTTGAATCCCACCCCCTGGGAAAATTCAGCATGTCAAAATCCCGACCCTCTGCAATGGGGGTCTGATCTTTATTAGCAAACCTTTGAATGGTGCATTACCTATATGGATAACAAACAAAGACAGGTTCTTCATTCTTATTCCATTATAGAGGATTCTTGACTGATGGGATGACAGAAAGACAAATGGAGGGCTTCACTAAATACAAAGCCAATCTCCAATAGTATCATTTGGTACTATTTTGGCTACAATACTGTATGGTGCCATAGACTATGGTACTGTATGGTACTGTATACTAACCGTACCATATGCTACTGTATTTCAGAGTGCGGATAGTAGGGATTAAAGTGATCCATGCACCTGCAGACAAAAATGTTTCTAAATTCATATTCTTTGTTTTAAGACTTACTTGGACTTTTATGGATTAAAATCACCCAATACACCTGCAGAGAATTTTTTCTAAATTCCTATTCAATTGCTATTTGACTTACTTGTGCTTTAATTTTCTTGATGTAAGACTGTACACTGTAACTGAGACAGTTCTCCATGCTGTCAGGGACTAGGTTAGGTGCTCCCATCTTGGCAAGGGCTCTCTTCAAGGGCTAAAGAAATGAAAAGGGGATGGAGGTTACTATGAAAACATACTTTGCTGTTAAACATTGTCAAAATCTATACTGCAAAATTGGTGTTCAATTTATCCTGACTGTAGATACAGTTCATATCAGACAAATATTGTTCAGGCATTCAAACACTCAAGCACTTTCAATATATTCAGTTAGCCAAGATCTCACAAGTACATGCTTATAGACACAGACAGTGTGGCCATTCATAAAAATGTCACCACTTACCATTTGTTACAGATGCCTAACACCAACCAATGAACACAAACTGCCACACCACAAAAAATTTGGACTATTACAATGTCATCATTTAATGGTGATAATGAACAGAAGTTTAGACAAATGTTACTTTTCATTTATACCTGAAAATTGTTGACAGACAGATGAAATGGATAGACATGGACAGACAATGGATGGAAATAAGGAAAAGAAAAAACTTACCCCTGCATAATATATGGGCATGGTTTTGAGATAGCTTTCAAATTGTTGGCGCCATTTTTGTGTAGGCTTGAGCTTGTGGACCTTGAACAGATCCTCTGGAAAAAACACAATCCGAGCATCATTATATGGATCAACAAAATTCTTCTAAAAAGAATGCAAAATGCACGCATAGTCATTAATATACTATATTTCCATTCATCAGACATCAAAAAACTTTCTATAAAATAGAATAGGCTTTACCCAGGATCTTTTTCTATGAAGAATTTTTTAGACAAAAATGTAGGATCACGAAACTTTTTGTTATAATAGCCAAGGATTTTTGAAATATCATCTGGGTCATGAATTGTTTTATTTGATGCATATCTTGGGGTAAGGAATTTATTGAAGGCATTGCCCAAGAGATATTGAGGTGTTGCACCAGATTTGGAGGTGTTGTACCAGAATTTGAGGTATTCCACAATGTTTGAAGGTGCTGCACCAGATTTGGAGGTGCTGCACCATAAATCGGAAGATATTGCACTAGATTTGGTCGCGTTGCACCAGATTTAGAGGTGGTGCACCAAAAATCGGCAGGTGTTGCACCAGATATATTAATGTCTAATGTAACCTACCTAGTAATGCTATGAGGACGGGATAGTTGTAAGGCATAACGAACAAGTTGACACAAGTCAGGTTGGTGCTAGCTTTGATGTATCCAAAGGGATGACCCATCTCACTGTATTTTGCACTGTTCGGTACAAACACCTGAAATGAAGAATTCAAAGATATACATGTTTTCATTATGTAGACAGTCTACTTGGCCAGGAATATGTATGGCATATCATACCAGTATATGGTCTTTCTGTAACTTGGGGAAAACTCCATGTTTATGACAAAGGGTGACTTTTGACTTATGACTAATTATTAATAGGGGTGAACTGGTCGAAAAAATCCGATTCGAGTCAGAAAATGACGATTCGAGTTTCGAATCCGTTTCGAGTCGCGTGAAGTGCGAACAACATCGCTTTTGACCGTTCGTATTTTTAATGCGTCAATGGTGGAAAGCCGGAAATATAAACAAACACAATTCGTCATAAGTTTATTCTGATTTTATTACATATATTCTTTCATTTATGTGTACATACAATATAATAATTTAATACAAGCATATCCAAGTCATTGAAACTTATATATTCAACGCAATATCGAGTAAAAACATGCATATTGACAGTATTTTTCTGAATTTTTTTATTTTTCTGAATTTTTTTATTTTTTCGAATTTTTTTCTCAACTCGAAAATGATTCAATTCATCAACTTCGACTCGATTCGACTCGACTCGAAGCCCCAAACCCGCGAGTCCTCGACTCATCGGGTTGTCGTCTCACCCCTAATTATTAACATTAACATGGTGCAAAAACAGATTTTTCCAAAATGAGGCAAAAGTAGGATTCAGAACTCATGGTGTAAAAAGCATGATTCCAGAAAACATGGATACAAGTTTTGTTTCAAAAGAATGATGTTTTCCTTTGTCAAAAAAATAAATGATTGAAAGATGGATTGACGGATGGTTGGGCGATTCTAAAGGCTCAATGGTGGGTAGCACAAAGAGGTGTCAAGGAACAAAAAAATCGTAACAGATCGGTTTGAACATTTGACTTCGAAATGGAACAATTCTGGAATGGTTCAGAACAGAACAGATTGACTGCGTGTGTAAACTAAGTTGATTGACTAGGTCTATCTGGTAGCGAATAGCTCTTCAAAACTCTTCAATGGAAAGTACTGAAAAATTGACTTCTTTCGGTGCAAAAAAATACTGTTTTGTTGACTGCGAGCCTAATTCCACGGGTCAGAACAAAATTGGGCATCCCAAACACCTCTAGTAAAACATTTCAGCTACTGACCTGCCAGGCTACACCAGGTTGCCTCCGCTCTAAGATGTACTGGGTCAAAGGGGATGGTTCCAACTCATACTTGTCAAATGGTAGATTCTCTAATGTGAGAGGTTCACATGGTTTGCAGGAGAAGTTCACTGTAGGATTGGCTGACCTTGCAGGCTGAAAAATCAAATTATACATGTCTTGATTTTATTCAAGGTCTATTTGGCTGGGAATGTGTGTACATGTACTTGGGAAATAAAAGATTTTCAATTTTTTGACTAAGTTTTTCATTGTCAAAAGCATGCATTGCAATTTCAGATATTCAACAGTCTTTTACAATAGTCAAAGTAACATAGCACAAAACTCAAAGATAAAATTCGGGAATGTAATCCCTTGAAGCCCCTTGAGAAGGACATGTAATGCATAGAATATGCACACCATACAACACCAGACTTTTGATACATGAGGTTACTCCATAATACAGACAGATTCAAGTACTGTACTCCGGGTAAATTTCGACGATATAAAATTTCGCAATTTTTCAAAATTGCAATTCACGGCTATTTAATTTTGCGGATTTGAGTTGATGACATTTCGCAGATTGCACAAGTTGAATTTTTTTCCAATTACCGTGAATCAATGCGGACTATTTTAGCCCGTTCAGAATCCGAATTATGTTTGTATTTCCCACGTTTAGGGCATTTATTTGAATATTCTTGAATGGCTTTTTCAATTTGCAGGATATCATTGTCGTCAACAGTTCTTGCCTTTGTTGGCCTAATACTGTAGATTGGGTTAATTTGGCGCCCGCTTTAATTTGGCGAATTTGGCGAAATTGAAAAATTCGCCAATATAAATCTTCGCCAAAATTTAGAATGAATCCCCGGGAATTATCTAGGGTATTTCGTCGAGTGTATTTAGGTCACTTCCGGTTTAGTTTTTTCCAAAAATATGAAAAAAATGTTTCTCATAAATTGGCTCAGAACTGGTCAGTCACTTATTAATACTCAGGGAAAAACTAGAAAGGAAAAGTGCAGTATAGTAGCAGCATCAATCGAGGTGCAAAATGTAAAGGATGATCTCACAAAAATGTACAAACATGGTGAATATTGCCAGTGGTCCTCAAAAGAAAAAATGAACATAAAATTCGCAAACAACGCGTAAGTTAATTAAAATTTTTTTTTGCATATCCGCAAAATGGCAAAATCGCCAAATTAAGTAGCGCCAAATTAACCCAATCTACAGTAAGCCAATTCAAAATGTTTTTAGGCCTTCGCCCAACAACACTGGAAGAAACGTTTCACACAGAACGAAACATATCAAAAGGCCCGGGTCAAATCCCCGGGGATTAAAGACAAATTTCGCGACGATAAATGTTCGAGATTTTGCTACATTCGCGAACAAAGCAGATTAAATCGCACGCAAACATTACCGGGAGTACAGTATGTTAATTGGTTGAACATTAAGTACTATATTTAAGAAACAAAAGAACATGACATACTAGTGAAGGACTGTTCAGATCTGGCCAGTAAGACTCAGGGATCAACCAGTGACCAACAGAGTAGCCTTTGGTGGCAGACCTTGGTACATAGACAAGTTTACGACAACTATGCCATGCAGCAGATGTTGGGGTAGTTGATCGTTTTCCTTCTAGGGCATTTGGCACATTGAGGTTGGCTTCATGGTTTTCTGCAATAGAAAAATGTAAATATGATAATATACATATTCCTGGCCAGGTAGCCAATGAATACGACATTAAAATGTATAAAAGTTTACACAAAGTAAATAGCATTATACATGTTCCAAAGTAGTAATGTATGTAACATCAGAATGTATCAAGGTGTACATAAAGTATGACAAAATACACATTCCTGGCCAGGTAACCAATGTAGGCAACAAAGTAAATATGACAATATACATGTTCCAGGCCAGGCAGCCAATATATGTAACCTCAGCATGTATATCCTACCTTTAGTGGTATCATCAGGGGGGTCTGGTCCGATCTTCTCAAAGTTGATTACTACACCAGGATGAAGTTTCTGCACCATAGACTCCAATGTCTGCAACAACATCCTCTGTGTAAAAACTGCATAGGATCTCCCTGAAATTGCATTAGATCTCCTTAAAATATCACAGAATCTTCCTGAAATGGCACAGGATCTCCTTGGAATAGCTTATGATCTCCCTGAAATGATAGATGATCTCTTTAGAATACCCTAAGGTCTCCCTGAAATAGCATTATAGGATCTCCTTAGAATAGAACAGAATCTCCCTGAAATAGCACAGGATCTCCTTGACACAGTAGAGGATCTCCCTGAAATTGCATAGTATCTACTTAGAATAATGGAGAATCTCCCTGAAATAACAAAGGGTCTCTGAAATAACATCTCCAGAATAATATAGGCTAGGATCTCTCTGAAAAATATAAGATTTCTCTAGAATAAAGGAAAGTCAATTGCAAAAAATAATATGCCTAATACAGCAGAGCATGCAATGAAGGGGTCAAATAACAATAGAGATCTATCCTCAGTTGTGATTTGATAACTAACAACACTCATATTTCGACCAAAACCCAATACATATGTTAAATAATAAAATTGCCATTATATTTATGACTGACCTCCTGTGACTTCACACATAGCATCAATGGCTGCACTATCAGCTGATGGGATATATTGTCCTCCAGTGATTTCATTGGGGACAGTTGCAGGAAAACGAAGCACTATACTGAACAGTCTTTGATCCCACCGGAAGGGTTCTTTTGTGAGCTCATTTCCTGGAACTGTGGTATTCATTGGAAGATTTAACTGCAAGAAGGTATAAAAGACATTTACAGGGTGTCCTAAAAAAATTGTACATAGACAAATGTGGAATTTAAAACATGATCACAAAGATCTCAAAACTATCCAGGGTATTCGGATTCGCATCAACCATGACTGAGGTCATTTAAAGCATGTCATCAAAAATGTTGATTTCTCAATAAGAAAATGTGAGAATTTCGGCTTTTCTAATAAAAGAACTGCAGAACCCTCCCCTCCCGCCAGATAAATACTCAATTACTTGTTAATACCCAGAAAATAGACCCAGATATATATCCCCTAAAAATTGTATATTTTACATTTCGCATGCTCTCACTTTCTTGTCATCACAATTCCAGGAAAACCACTTGACTGGTGAATCCAGTCATACCCTCCAGAGCACTACTCTTGGCATACTTATCCCCAGTTATACCCCCCCCCTCCCTCAAAGAGCTACTCACATCTTGCTGTACTCCAGTCATACTGGTTAGCTTCCTTCCATCAGTGATACAGATAATAACAGCTGGCTCTAAGTAATAGGGGCATTTACCCTGAAAATATAACAAACAATATTTAGGCTATTATCTACTTTGGTAAGGGTAAAGAGAAATATCTGCTGTCTATGGATAAAGGTTTACAAAGCATTTTTGCCTATATCAATTCAATGGTCAGTATTGCAAAATCTAAACAAGATTGTAGAACACCATCCACAAAAAAAAGTTGGAAACAATTACGATATGTCATTTGTGATTGTGACATAAAAATGAATTATATTTTCAGCAAAGTTCATCTGTTTTTACAATGTATCACATTGTTCATTGCAGCTTAATGCAAAAGGCTGACACCCCCAGACTTATTTCTATATCTAATTTTTATGTCTAATGTTTGCGCTAAATCTTACCATGCCATAAGTGTCAATACCCAAATGCATTCTGTTGACATTCAAGAGATCGAATGCATGTTTTAGGGATGGTCCAACTGCAGACAGGCCAAGGGCTTCAAGATTCTTTAGTTTGTCTACAAATGTTGTGTGACTCTCTTTCCATCCTGCCTATAATGTAACAAGACATGGTCAGTATTAACTTCAAATTAGGCCAGGGTGCATGTTCGGAACTTTGCTGCAACACTCAATAGAGTCACATGTTATTTTTCAAATATGAATAACCCCTTCCCCACACCGTCTACATCTTTCAGTTTTGCACAAAGAGTGCACTAAAGTATCTAGAAAAGACTGATGAAAAGATTTATTTTGTAAAATGTATAAAAAATGAGAAAATTAAGTAAGAAAATTCAGTGCACTCCTGTCACTGTATTTTTTTGTTTTATTTTACATTTTACAAAACAAATCTTCTCACCAGTCTTTTCAAGGCACGTAAGTGCACAAATTCAGTAACAAATTGACAATTTAGCTGTAATTCAGTGGTATCGTTTATTGGTATGGGTTTATATTAAAGTCACTTTTAATAAAATTCTAAAACCTTTAGGTCATAATTACACATCCTGTTATGCAGTGATTTTTTCTCAGGTGGGTGCAAAATTCTACTTTTCAAATTCAGATGCCAATTGTTCATGTTTTTTTTTTCATTTTCAAGTGGGTGCAAAAGGATTTTCAGGTATGTGCAAGTCTATTTTCAAATTCTCAGTTGGGTGCTGCGCCCACTTGCTTTAGTGTTTGAACACCCCATTTACTTCAATGGTACACATGCTACAATGCTAGCAATATTTAATTTTATTTTGTTTTAATTGTTTTTGTATATTTCAAGTGTTAAAATATTTCTGACAGTTCAAATAACATGAATACATGAGAAGTGAAAGTGAAACCAAAAGTAACCTTATTCAATTTAGTGATGTCACTACCCAGAATGCATTTCAAAGTGTAATACAAATGGCGTTAAAGGTAGCCAAGATTTGTGAATAAAAAGCCAAAAACAACTTAATTACAGCCCGTATTCTAAATAAATGGATGGATTGGTGCACGTATGAAGTTACAAGCTTTCATTTGCTGCATGGGAATCCACAAAAAGTCCTCATATTTCGATAGAAATGCGCGACTGATTGTCTTCAGTCTCACCTTGATGTTCGCAGGCGGTTCTTCAAATGTCAGCAGCATGTATCTGTCCATCCTGCTTGCTGGATCACGGGATCTGAACTGAAAATAAATAAATAAGAACATATAGAACCCATCCCTCGTATAAATAAGGCACTGCATCTCACAACAAACTACCAAATATGCTTCAAATGTGTACCTTCATGAAAGTTTCCACGGCAGATTTTGCAACATCCAACAAAGATGTGCCCAAATATGTGCGCTGATTCATGGACGCGCTTGTGTCCACGAGAAAGACTATTACCGTCATTGTAAAGGTAATGGTCTAAGCTTTCATTTAGTACTAATAATGATCTCAAACAATGACCCCTTCTCTGGCTACAAGCGAAAATATTTCTTGGATTTCTGGATCGCGGGCGATTCGTGCAGCCCAGTACGCCACAGCTTCTGGTCACGTGGTATGTCCGCCATTGGATTTTGATTGGCTAGTCTGATTTGAGAGCTTTGTATTTTATTTTCTCGCTTACTTACTTTCATTATTTTCTTTCTATTGTTTGATGTATGCTTTATACAAATATAGAATCGCATCAAATTACAATATTTTCTACATTTTTCAACAATTTGATTCCATATGACGAGATGATTCCTTATTTTCCAATTATAAATGTTTTAGTATAAAAATAGAATACAGATTACTCTTTGCTCAATATGTTTACTTTTTACTTTTTAACGATGTTTTATCGACGTTTAGCTGTAAATTATGTCTAAATGATGTAATAATACTAATCAATTGAAAAATTTATCTTCTGACGATCAAGAAAAACAAGTGTTTGAAGTTACACAAAAAATATTTTATATCCCATAATTGGTGCAAAGCCCGGATGTTGGAGAAAGTTTAAAACAATTTTGCAGAACTTTTGATATAGTTCAACACTCATTATGGTCCCACTAGCTTTTGTCAAGTTATAAATTTATGAATCATGACTTTCCCAATGTCAAAGGCATGCGTATTTACATGTTTGGACTCAAGTTCCTGCTTTAGTGCATTGCATGTTCGAGGAATTTGACTTGTTCATGTCTCTGTGTAAATCAAACTTGACAAACTACAGATTTTGTCAATGTCTAAAATGAGTTAGACTTAGGGGCATTTTCAGCCACAGGGCATTGCAGGATAAACTCGGCTCCAGAAAAACTTGTGTATAATGAAATGGAGTTGGGTATTCTTGAATTACAGTTGTTTTCCTGGTCGTCACTCTGTCGTGAAGACTTATCTATACAAACAGCACATTTCATTGTACATTTATTTCTTGTTTCAGTGATTATTGCATTCATGCAATCAGCTAAATGGCATTCAATGAATGGAGTCCCTGAAATAGACGAACCACATTCTGGCACAATCAACCAACTACCCATGAGTGAATTGAATGGTGTACATCCACACAAAACTGCACATCACCAAAGAACAGATTTCTACTTTGATCACGGGAGATTTTGACAATGTTATTCACAACAAGCTTAATGAAGCTACTCGCCTTGTTTGTGATACTGGCAGCCTCGGAGGAGCTTAATATAGAGGTACAGAATAGCTTGGCTATGTGTCCACCTCCTTGTAACTGTACAATATCTAATACACAGGACACGCCGGGGATAAACATGAAGTGTTGTATGCTGGGATTGAAGGAGCTGCCTCTATTACCTCCTCTGGTTTGTAAATCATAATAGTATTCTTGTTATGTTAACTGAGAATTATTTAGACTGGGTGTTAAGTGGATTTAAATTTTTAAAATATCTAGTGAAAATGTATCACAATTAGGCCTGTAGGTAGAGTCCATTTCACTGCTTCAGTTCGTCAGTAGAACGGCAAAAATAAGAAATTGGGAGACCATTGTGCAATAATATATGGAAAAGTATATTCATAATGTACATGAATGACATTTGTATATCTTGGATTGCTTCTAGTTTGGCTTATAAAGTGTGTGGCCTCTTATATTTGGATGTTTCTCTGCCATGTTATTTTCAATAAGATTAACATGGCTGAAATTCTTCAAATTACAAGACGGCACAGGCTTATTGCACAAAAAACTAAAAAATCTGAAATATACAAATGTCATTCATGTACATTATAAATATACTTTTCCATATATTATTGCACAATGGTCTCCCAATTTCTTATTTTTGCCGTTCTACTGACGAACTGAAGCAGTGAAATGGACTCTAGGCCTGTATGATAAAGTAAAAAAATAAGCTTTCAAATTTTTGAATTTAAAAATCAGAAACAATGAAGAATATGATAAATTATTCTCAGGTATACTGTAAAAAGTTTGAATAGTTTTAAGAATACAGAATTCTCATTCATTCAAAAATAAATATTTTTGCTTTTATTTTTCAGGCAAAAGAGGTGTCACTCTCCCATAATCAAATAAGCAATATAAAGGAGGATTCATTTTCTCATCTGCCTCGCCTACAGACTGTTGATCTCAGCTACAATGCATTGAACTTAATCCCAGAAACTGCATTCTTTATGACATCACAATTAAAAAGCATTAATTTATCACATAATCAATTCGAGGAAGTCCCAAGTGGTTTACCATTTGGATTAATGCAACTGGATATGAGTTACAATGTTGTCAAAATGATCGATACTGTTGCCTTGGAGGGGCTCTATTTGCTCAAAGAGTTAAACCTAGGTGAAAATGACATTTCTCTGATTCATAAATCAAGTTTCAGAACCACTGATAAAGGACCTCAAATACATCCAGGCGAAGCAAAATCAAACCCAAATATAACGGAGGTTATGAAAAAATATTTTTTGCCAAACTTGCGGAAGATTTCTCTCCGAAACAATCAGATTTTAAAGATAGAATCGGGGGCTTTGGATCCTCTTGTGTCGTTGACTCATTTGGATTTAAGTGGTAATTACATCAGCTCAATCCCTGTGGATTTATTTAAGTCACTTCCGCAGCTACATAGTGTGAACCTTGCCAGAAATCAGCTCAACGCAATTAAAAATGGAACTTTTAAAGGAATTATTTCATTAAGGTATTTAGACCTAAGTCGGAACTATTTAACAACATTACCTATCGATATACCACCTTTACGTTGGCTGGATATGTCACATAATAAAATCATGACAATTCCAAAAAAATATTCAGATGTGATACTGCCTGTGGAGTTATTTACATTTGCTTCAAACCCGCTATATTGCGATTGTGAAATATTATGGTTAAAGGAACTGTATGATACTAGGGATTTCATGTTACAATATATAGATGGCTCTGATGGTCACCTTGTACCACAGTGTAGTGGCCCGTCAAGAATGGCAGGTGAATTATGGGATAGTTTAGCCGATTCATTGTTCACCTGCGAGCCCTCGGATTACAAACCGCAACCTACCAAGGGCAGATATTTGGAATCGGCATCGATAGTTACTCAGTATATTACATTTAACGTTTCCATATCAGAAGCACTTTCGACAAACTTAACGATACAGTGGACAATGTTGAATCCTCATGACATTCCATTTGACGGAATCCTAATCGAATACCACATATTTGGCGATATACACAAAAAAAGTGTCCATGTGAAAAAATCAAAATCTCAATATTCTCTAAGATCTCTCAAGCCTGGGACTAATTATGTAATATGTTTGAGTGCATATGAAGCTATGCATGGTGTCCCAAGATTCTTTACTGACAATTGCTTGGAGATTGCAACTGTCAGTGAAAAAGAGGTGAGCAAACTCCAAGCAGTTGGTCATTGGATCGGGGTTGTATTAGACATAGATGTCAAAGTGGTTTCATGGGGAATGAGCCTTGCCTGTATTACTGTGTTTACATGTACCATAGCTCTGACTATTCGAAATGTGATGAATAGAGATTTTGGGGTGAAGCTATGAAAAGAAGAGCTAGAGGTTAGGGTCGGCATCGGGATTCGGGAGTGAGAGTCTTGGGTTCAAATATATGAAAAGTAGATTGCCGCATGGTATGGTCAACTTGTAAAATGAGAGACTTACTTGTATTAAAGTCTTGGTAAAGCTATGGAATATAGATTGTCTTAGGGTTAGCTTGTGGGGTTAGGGTTTTTGGGAAAAGCTATAAAAATAAGATTTAATGTCATCAACAATATTACAACAAAATTTATGAAGGATCATGTCAGAAGAGATGGGTCATCTGGGCTCATAATTTTTACTTGAAATTGGATACAGTTTGAACGATAAATAAATGAGGAGTCGATTTTCTATCACCATTTCCGAACCATGGTGGTTTGAAAACCCAAGTTTCCAATATTTTCTAGATACACTGATACATATCCCCTAAAATTTGTATATTTTACATTGTGTATACTCTCACCCACTGATGTATGGCCTGTTGAAAATTCTCTTATTTTTAACATGAAGAATCCTCAGCAAAGCCATGACTCATTTATTTATGGTCCAAACTGTAGTAACAATTTTTTACAGTAAAAAGTTGAATTATTCCTAAAGGACGATTCTCGGTTTGGAGAACAGTCCCCTGGGCTAATAATTTTTTTCATGAAAAATATAGAAATATTACCCAAATTAAACTATGAATATTCAAAAGAGGACACTTAAATCTACAAGATGTAAAAATATCAAATTGGTCTGAAGAATGGATAACGCTCAATTTGACCGATTCAATAAAATACAAGTCTCGATTTGGGGAAAGAAGTTCATCAGGGTACTGCGCTAATATTTTTTTGCGAAAAATCTAGAAATATTACCCAAATTAAATTATGACTATTCAAAAGAAGACATTCAAATCTATATTATTTAAAAAAACTCAAATTTGTCCAAAGCAGGGATAATGCTCATTTAGATTGATGAACTTCGTTCTCCAAACCGAGAATCGTCCTTTTTAATTTTTCTGTCTTCCAACTTTTCTGTGGACAGTGTTTTGTTTCTGTAACAGCATCTCATTGTGGTTGAAGTATGTAACAAATGGGAGGTGGTGACATTTTGCATGTTAAGGCCTTGTTGGCAATACGTCAGATCCTGAATATTGTCATGGATGTCAGGCCATATGTCCACAACTGACACCTACATCACATCTTTACATCATCAAATAAATTCAGTGTAATTGTGTTCACTGTTAACATTCCATTAAAAGTGCAATAAAATAAATACGAGAATTTATTTTTGTATTGCTCTGAATTTGTTCGTAAGCGGTCCAGATAGATCCAATTTTCTGATAAGCCAGGAACCCAATGGTCTTATGAGCTTTCTCACTTCAAACAATGTGTGCTCACAAAAACTAGACAACAGCAATGCCAACACGTAGCATATCCCACCAAACAGCCATGGCTGGCATTTTCACAAACAAAGTATATAGCAAAAATTGCAGCCATTTTTCAAAATGGCCACCTTCTACCAAAAGTGTCATGAGACAGTGTGCCATGCTTATACATAGCATTCACATACCAAATATGAACAAAAATCGATAACGAGTAAAGGTCGCCATTTTTCAAGATGGTTTTAATTTTGAGGATTGTGCAATTAGGATTGGAAGCCAGAATGCAACATCGATATTCTCTAACAAAGCTTGCGTCAGTCCTGGAGCCATATTTCTCACTTCAAAATTTGAATCACAAATTGCAAATTTTTTTACCAAACAAAAAAATTCAAAAAACAACAATTGATCAAGATCATTAGTGGCTTAATTAATGACCATTGGTTTCAATATTTTGAATGCTGATTGTGAATTTATAGTCAGGTAAATGCCAGGCAATAATGATGCCAGCTTTGTAGTTTGTTAGAGAATATCGTTAATTCGTAAAAATATGCTGGCATGATCAGCAATATCGCATTACTTGGAAATTAAAGAATATTGAGTTGGAACTCTGGATTCCAATCCTCCTTGAGAATCTTAATACCTTATGAGAAAAGGACTTCTGATTGAGAAGGAATTTCCAATATGGTCACTCGATTCAAAATGGCCAATATTTTTTGCAAAAAAAATGCAATCTTTGAAAACGCAGACAAATACCAGCTGTTTTGACACATTGGCATTAAACATGAAACTAAAGTTTGAGACTGAATATTTTATTTAAAATATAATGTTCTAAATACAAAAATAAGCAATAAACATAATTTACATCAGATCTTAATGATCACACTTAATACTGTTTACAACTTTACTACTCGATAATACTGAAAACTTCCTGCTAATAATCATAGTGCCTTATTCAGATGGCCTCATCTGTTTTCAATCTTGGTCATTACAACCTTCTTGGTTCTGGCTGCTTAACAACCTCATCCTGATTTAAACTTTATCCTGATTACAACCTTATTTTGGTTTCAACCGCATCCTGATTAAAACTTCCTTTTTAGTTCAACCTCATTCTGACTACAACCTCATTCAGATTTCAACCTCATTCAGATTGAACCTTACTCAGATTACAACCTCATTTAGATTTCAACCTCATTATACCTCAACCTAATTCAGATAAAAACCTCATTACGGTTTTAACCTTATTTTGATTACAACCTTATTCTAATTACAACATCAAATGGATTACAACCTCATATGATGAGTTCATGAGTATAACACTAAAAACTTCATTACTGCTGCATAACATAATAATTATTTAAAATACCCCAAAAAACACGTCATATATGGTTAGATTCATATCATTGGTTGTACCAGCGATCTTTCCAATGGAGAATAGGATAACTTTGACTCAGATTGAATATCCTCTTAGAATTGTGTTTGAAAATATTCTACCTACAGACCTGCAACCATATGACATCATGACTAGCCTAATGACCTAGCAAAATGTGGCAAGATTGATTTGGCAGCGACTCTTGCAGTGCTATTAAAATGGCATGCCATGTAGTTGGTGCAATGTTATAGGAGACAACAGATACAGGCCAGTAGCCAGGGGGGGGGGTTCGCAGGGTTCTGGCAAAAAATTCTTTCAAAATCATGTCGTTTTCCATCATTTTGAGCACTTCTCAAGTGATTTTAGCCATAATGATATTTGAGCCAAAATTGTCAAATGTGAACCCCACCCTGGAAATTTTTGAAAACTGAACAAACTTGGCAAATCCTGGCTATGGGCCTGAGATATATGTTACCTCATGGGCTAGGTCAACAGAAAGACGGCAGCAGAGGATTGTGGTCTTAAGATACAGAGACCAATACTGTCATCTTTTGGTCGGAAAGTCCCTATGGATTAAACCTTACTTTTTACATAACTTGTAGAATGTATGGTAGAATTAATATGTTAGGGAAAACTAGAACTACATGTACAGAGTTGGAATTATTTACAAGGTACATAAATGTGATTGTTGGGCTTGGATATGAGATTTATCCTTCAGAAAATAAGTATTCCTATTAATCTCAGTACAAGAGTGTTATTGTAAATCTTCTTCAAGATAAATCCCATATCCTCTTACGTATATGAGTCTACACTACATATATAACTAACTTAATCAAAATAAAAGATCTTGATAAAATATGAAAGAATAAACTTGATCTTGATGAAAACTAAACGCTTAAGTTTTTGAGATTCCAAGTAATAATTGTATGTACTATTCATGCTCTAATCTTTATGCTGGCTCATTTTGGCTATACGGTAATACACAGATAACTACAAGCATGCATTTAAAACTTTATGGTGTCCAACTATAACTCAGATACACATATGGAGTATGTACAATGCACACATGGAGTATGTACAATGCACACATGGAGCATGTACAATACACAGTTGGAGTATGTACAATATATACATATGTACATGGAGTATGTACAATACCACATGGAGTATGCATATGGAACTGCAATACACACATGAAGTATGTACATTACACATGAAGTATGTACAATACACACATGGAGTATGTACAATGCACACATGGCGTATGTACAATACACACATGGAGTATGTACAATACACACATGAATAATTCCTTAGTCCACAGGGCCCATCTTGAGATTGTCATACTCGCCATTGAGAATCTTTGTGATTTCCTCATGGAGAAATTTGACCTTTTCCCCATCAGTTTCTACATCTACCTTGTCGGGATGGTAGTGCAATATTGCTTTCTGAGCAATTTTCTTGATCCTAGAATATTCAACTGTGTCAATATCCTCTGGTAGTTTTTTTCTGGCGTCCTTCAGAGGAAACCGTTGATAAAGGAATTTTAGGAAGGCTCTCACCCCTTTTCCCCTACAATCAAGTTGTTTCTTCCATTCTTCGAGTTCTGTAAGTTCAGCTTTGAGGACGTCATGGAATTTCTCTTTTCGTTTCTGATATTCAATTTTGTCCTGCTCAGCCACTTCTTGTTGGTACCTCTCCAGAGCTCGCGTACAGTCTCTAAACCATACTGAAAAATAAATATTGTATTGAACTATTCTGGATTGTATATCAATTAAAAAGTGAAAAAGGAACTTGAATGGTAGAGAAGTTAAGACATTCTTTCTTTTCACTTTGGATTACGGTCTCGAACAGTTGAGGTTTGTTATCATCATCACTGGTGTACACTTAGACGTTTTCTCTTTCTTGCTGGGTTCTTTAAAGGCCCGTGTAAAATTTGAAAATATATCTTCATCATGCATTTATTTTTCTTCATGACTTAAAAAGCTGTTTCATAAAAAGTTGTCAGCTTTTTGCTTCTCAAATATTCAAAGGATCTGTACCCATTAGTGTACCTATAAGGACTAAGAAATTTTTCGAAAAGGGTAAATTGGAATTCCAGGATTATTCTTATATAATATGAATCTTTAAGAAGTATATTTTCAACAAATCACAAAAATAATCTTTAGAATATGGTGAAAAGTTGTTTTTTTACAGTGATCCTTAACACATTCTGACTCTTAAATGGAGAAATTTTCACATATTTTCACAAAACCTTGAATAAAATCTTGTTTTTTGTAGATACACTTAAATTGACTTGTCAGTATAAAACTACATTGTGTCTGAGCATAATAACCTTCACTAAGCAGATCAACCATGCATATATACTTTGTAATCCGATTGTTTTGAAAGGCACCCTATCGTGTTCTTGTTTTTAAGAATGGATGACCTTCTACAGTCACTGAGAGATTTAGGTGCTTCCGCAGGTCAGACCCCCTCTGATTCCACCTTTATTGTCTAGTATTGACATCATTGCATAGTTCAAACATGAAATGAGGGAGGGTCCTGGCTGCGGAAGATATACAATGTGAAAGTATAGCAAAAAAATTAGTTTAAAAAAGGAGGCCAAATTGGATCTGCCAGACACCAAGGCAACAAACTATCAGACAAGTATCAAATGGGTCAATTTATTTTTGATTTATCAGTCATGCATGCCTCTGAAGAGGATACGTTGCAGAGTGACTGAATTGATATCCATTTAGTCATTAAAGGGACACTTTTTGTTAAGTAGTTCTCATGCTAATGAACACTAAAATGGGTCAATCTTCTTTTGATTCATCAGTCATGTCTATCTCTTGAGATGATATGTTGAAGAGACACTGAATTAATATCCATTTAGCCATTAAAGGGACACTCCTTGTAAGGTAGTTCTCACCCAGAGAAACAAATAAGCCAATGTATCTTTGATCGATCATTCATGCATGCCCCTGAAGATGATAAATTGCAGAGGGACTGAGTCATCCATTCAGCCATTTAAAGGGACATTGCTTGTAAGATAGTTCTCATCCTAATGAACACTAAACTATTTTTAACAAAGAATCAAAGGGTCAATATACTTTTGAATCATCAGTCATCCCTGCCCCTGAATGTGATATATTGCTGAGGGACTGAATCAGTATCCATTTACCCATTTAAAGAGACACCGCTTGTAAGGTAGTTCTCAACTAATGGGTCAATCTATTTTTGATTCTTCATTCAATTGCCTACCCCTGAAGATGATATATTGCTGAGGGACTTAATCAATATCCATGTAACTGTTTAAAGGGACACTGCTTGTAAGGTAGTTCTCACCAAAAGAAACAAAAGTGTCAATTTTTGATGCCTGTCCCAAAAGATGATATATTGCTGAACGACAGAATCAATATCCATTTAGCCATTAAAGGGACACTGCTTGTAAGATATTTCTCATCCTAAGTCAAACTAAAATATTTTACCTCATAATAATTATATGTTATACAATGGATAGATTAAAATACCTCCACTTGGTTGATAGCAAAACAATGGGTTGCAAACTGACGAAAAAACTCACCAACATGCACCTTTTCCATTTTAAAAAGCAACCATTTGACTTTATACCTTTAGCTTCAATTGAATTATTCTTTGAAAATGCCAAATAAATATATCATATGTTGGAAAGTCACAACTAGATTTTTAATATTTGAGTTGAATACCTAGGTTTTGTGTTTTCAATATGTTGCCCTTTGTGTCCTACCTTTAATAATGATGTTTAATATGTCCTCTTAATTGAATATCCTAGGTTAAACCTTCTGCATACCAACTGAGGTGGTACTTTTGCTTAGATTCAAGATTAAGATTCATAGATAATATACTACGGGTTGTTTTATGATTTGTGTTTTCAATATGTTGCCCCTAGTGTCCTACCTTAATGATATTTTGATATATCGATTGATTGAATGGTCAATATACTTAAAATAGTCATGAGTGAAGACTAACATACCCCTAACATGATATTTAGAATGATTTGCATAGTCAAACTTAAGTGCACTGAATGACCTTAGTTTTAATCCATATGACCTAATTTTATTTTGGATGTGTTCATAATTTATAAAAGTAACTATTTCCATGTTACATTCAATGAAACCTTTGGGGGCACCTGTAGGTACATTGGGTAACGGATCCTTTGAAAGTTCCTACCATTTTTCAAATAAAAGTTGACATTTTTGATCTGATCAAATATGTATACATAAAATATAGCCAATGTAATTTTCAAATGAACACTGTCTCAGTAAATGGGACTCCTAATTGCCCTCTCTACCCTTTCCCATGTATTGAAGCCCACGTTATAGTATACCGTAGAGAGCTTTGAGTCCCTATTTTTTCATCCTCCTAAGCAGGTATCCAGAATCCGTACCTCCTTCTTCCCCCTGCTATAACCAATTTGGAAGCGCCCGATTAAACTGAATCACATGATCTAATTATGCGCAATGACTTATACATGATTTCTGTCGCAGTATTGCGACAGCCAATCAGATTGTGAGTTCTTAATTGGGGAACTGTTTATCGCAGGGGGTAAAAAGAAAGAATATATTCTGGATTTTGAAGCCCTGTTAACGGAGGATGTATTTTTTAAGCTGAAATTTACTTAACCAAATAACCATACAAAGTTTTGAATTTGTATGCCCATTTTTAATTGTTTCATGCATGGGCCCCTTTAATGCCTTGTATACCATTCCCATGTGCATTTTCCCATTGTGACCCATAGCACATATACTCACCTTGACCATAAAACGTCCTTGGGTGTAGGGTGTTGACAAGTTCCATGCATCGCATATAGTTCCTTTTAGCGTAACTTTTCAACTTCAAGACACGATCGTAAACATTGCCTGAAAAACATTTAAGGGCACTTGTGTAGTAAAAGACATAACATATACTGTAATGTACATAGAGTTCCTCAAGGCATAGCTCTCCAACTTTCACAAAGCATTGCCTGAAACACTTTTTAGGTATTTGTTAATAGTAAAGAAACAAATAACAAGCATGTAGCAGTTCATCTAATTATGGCAATTCAAATATGCCAAGTATGTCTCAGCCAATCAGCTTAGAGTATTGTAGTGCATTAATTCAAGGTATATGGTCAACTGAGCAGTATTTTAGAGTGCATTATGGTTTCATTATGTAAACAGTATGGCTGGCAACCTTAATGTGATCTGGACACAAATAAATTGTAAATACAGTTATAACTTAGCTTTTGATAAATGACAATTTTGTTATACATATTGACTCAACTCAGTTGAAAAAGAAATACATTTTCTATTCCATATATTGCAATAGATATGATGATCTGAGAAAAACAAACTTTGATGTGGTATATTTTAAAAATTTGGATAATGAAGGTAGCAAAATTGAATTTCTTTTTAGGGAACATACCTAAACAAGTGATATTGATTTTTTCTGAATTAATGTTGTATTTCCTATTGTTAACAGTGGTTAATAAGCTCAAGGTGGGCTGGGTACAATTGTTATTAATTGTTTTACATTTCATTGTAAGACTGACCACTATAAATAAATAAATAAATAAACTAAATTAAACTATATATTAATTAATTGTGGGCTTAAAGATATGAGATAGACAACAAGATTGAAGAGAGCAATCATTTCAAATTTAATTCTTGGATCAGTCCAAATGCAAATAATGCTGACTTTGTTTTGGCAATTTGTTCATATGTACAGGGTGTTTCATATATAGCAGCCCCCATTAACTCATTCATGTAGTATAGCCAACCTATCATGTTAAATATCATTTTGTTCCTTATGGAAAGTTACGTAGGATTGCAAAGTTTCAGAATCCGGAGGTGTCCCTGAAAAGAGATAAACCTATCAAAATATGTGGGTACGGTATGTTATTTCGCGGGGAATTTCTAGTCTTTTCAAAGGCCCACAAACTTTGATACATTGTATCTTTTTTATACAATGTATCTTTTTTCAGAGACAACCCTTGATTCTGAAACTTTGCAGTCTTATGTAACTTTCAATAAAGACCAGAATGTTATATAACATGATAAGGTAGCAGTGTCACATGTATGAGTTTATGGGGGTGCATACATATGAAACACCCTGTAAACTATTGCATTGATTATGAGAAATAAACTTGAATTTTGTGTAAATAAACCTCATATTGCATTGTAAAACTATTAAATTATATACTACCATGCTAAACTCACCAAGTTTGCTGAGTGCAATGGCTTCTCTTTCCAAGTCAATCTCACGGGTTTGAAGAATAGATTTCTTGTACCAATCCACTACTTCCCAGACCATATCAATATTGACCTCCTCTTCATCAAGAGTTATGTGTCTGAAAAGCTCATCACCTACAATGTAAATGAATAAAAAAAATAAAACGATTGTCCTGGAATTGGATGTACAATGTACATCTACAAGGTGGGCCAAAATGAGTCTATTATTTCTTTTGAAACACTTTTTGGCCAAAATGAGTCTATTATTTCTTTTGAAACACTTTTTAACATGGGATTGATTTTTGGCCCACCCTGTATTATATGGATCAATGGTCGTGGACTTTTGTTAGATTGCAAAGATCATCTTCGACCACCAACGATGAATTTCAATGAAAGAATAATCAAATCAAAGACCTTATATGGTTGCTTTATTAAAACATCACTATGAATAGAAAACATGATATAAATATTACTTGGAAATATATCTCATTTCAGAGAAAAAGATCTTTTTGTATTTCTTCATTTGAGATTATCAGTTTCTTTTATCCTATGTCCCTCTGGATTTTGGTCTTGGAGCATGAGACAACTCCTGGAACTGACTTTAATTGATGTCCAGGATTTACACTCGTTATTCCGTATTTGCCACCTAATATAAATTTTGCTCTCATAACAAGGAGGAATGGCTCCCAGGATCTATATTTTCCAACAATGAAAACGTCAAAATATCATTATTTTCTGAAATTATAACTGACTAAAAACTCAAAATAAACAGTTCAAAAGATTCAAACAATTATCTCGATTATTTCTTGTGAGTTTTGGAATTTTTCAGAAATAAGACCAAGATTCATGATTCAAATGTTGAAGTGAACAAAATGGTTGCTATTTGAATTCAAACTTTGTATCATGACATGCCCATATATGGGACAGAATATCGATGTTGCACTCTTGGAGCCAATCCTCCTTGCTCTCATAAATTGAAAACTTCATGATCAAGGTAGTCCCACCTGTATACTGTGCCTGGCAGGACTCTGAGATACATTGGTGCATATGGATATCTGCTTCAAGAACTCGCAGATCAGTGTTAAATTTAGCATCTGATGTTCCCGTTCCAAACTTTTTTGCTTCCTGCACTGGTCTGTAACAGTCACCTAGGATAGCTAGGGAATCTCTGAATGCGCCATCTACAACAGAATGTACAAAATTACAAATGGAGGTTACACTGAATGTGCCATCTATAACTGAAAAGATCTATGAATGGGCCATCTCAATTGGAGGTAACACTAAATGCGCCAGCACCATCTACAATTGTAGGAAATACTGCATGTTCCATCTACAATAGAATGTAAAAATTAATGCGCCTTCTACAATTGGAGATAACACGGAATGCACCATCTATAAACAGGCCCCATCTACAATTGGAGATAACACGGAATGCACCATTTATAAACAGGCCCCATCTACAATTGGAGATAACACGGAATGCACCATCTATAAACAGGCCCCATCTACAATTGGAGATAACACGGAATGCACCATCTATAAACAGGCCCCATCTACAATTGGAGATAACATGGAATGCACCATCTATAAACAGGCCCCATCTACAATTGGAGATAACACAGAATGCACCAATTATGAGTGAGGCTGAGGCCCCATCTACAATTGGAGATAACACGGAATGCACCATCTATAAACAGGCCCCATCTACAACTGGAGATAACACGGAATGCACCATCTATAAACAGGCCCCATCTACAATTGGAGATAACACGGAATGCACCATCTATAAACAGGCCCCATCTACAATTGGAGATAACACGGAATGCACCATCTATAAACAGGCCCCATCTACAATTGGAGATAACATGGAATGCACCATCTATAAACAGGCCCCATCTACAATTGGAGATAACACTGAAAGCGCTATGCATAATTGAAAACCAGAACAACGGCAACGCCAAAGCGTAGCGAATCCCATCGAACAGAAATGGCTGGCATTTTTACAAACGAAATATATAGCAAACATCATAAAACAACACACCAGAAAGGCTGACTACTCCCCAAAGTTTTATTAGACAATGTGCCATGCTTAAAGTATTCACATATCAAATATGAACAAAATTGCTCCACTACTTTTCGAGTTATAGTAAAAAATGTAAAAATGACAGCCATTTTTATAAAATGGCTGCCTACTATCTGAAGTGTCATGAGACAGTGTGCAAGGCTCATGAGTATTCACATATCAAATATGACCAAATCGCTTCACTACTTTTCAAGTTATAGTAAAAAACATAAAAATGGTGACCATTTTTCAAAATGGCCACCTACTACCCAAAGTGTCATTAGACAGTGTGCCATGCTTATAGTATTCACATATGAAATATGAAACATACCAAATATGAACAAAATCGCTTCACTACTTTTCGAGTTATAGTAAAATATGTTAAAATGGCGGCCATTTTTCAATTTTTTTTTCAAAATGGCCGCATTCTACCAAAAGTGTCATAGGACGGTGTGCCATGCTTATAGTATTCACATACCATATATGAACAAAATCGCTCCACTACTTTTCAAGATTGCTGCCATGTGCTTCTTTAATGTCTACATTTATAGCTTTATTAATGTCCTTCATAATTTTTTTACATTTAAAACATATTGCTATTACAGTTTTACATATTGCACCTAAATTACTGTAAAATCGGCACTAAAATGGCCACCATTTTGAATTGAGCGGCCATTTTGAAAATCGGCTTTCGAGCAGAACTTCTACCCCCATAGGGTATATGTGTACAAAATATTAACAAAATCGGGCCAACGGTATTTGAGTTATCGCCCGGACGGACGGACAGACGGACGGACGGACGTACGTACGGACGGACGTACGGACGGACGGATGTACGTACGGACGGACGGACGGACGGACGGAGGCGTTCCCTATATCCCTCCGAACTTCGTTCGATGGGATAATAACAATGGATGTGCCATCCTAAAAAAACTCTAAATGCATGTATAATTGAAAATAACACTTGGTGTGATTAAGGATTTAAGCCCTGGACTTAGTGAAATTTATTCCTTGAAGGTGTTGCTTTCCAAAATATGCAAGAGCTCAGTACCCTGTGTTAATTTAAGGAAACAACTCCTGAAAGGAATGGTCATTCCACAACGCATCAAGTCTTGGGCTTAGATTCTTTTCAAAATATCCTCTACCATGTCATTTAAAAGATACAAAATCACTAAAAGAACATATTTTCGACGAAACTTTTTGCAAGGGTGGAGTTTGCAAAGCACTGATTTCGATCTGTACATCAAGTTATCACCTTGACAACTACACCAGGGGAGACCTTGGATGCAGTGATTGGTGATATAATGCACTGCAGTTATATGAAATACTGTGTTTGGATTGGCTGGAATCGAACACACCTTACTATATGTGAAAAAACATTCATACTTTTTTCATGCTAATTTGAATACAAGAACACAAATGTGTACAAAATGTCCCTACCTATAGGTGATCCTGTCAAATGGTTATCCTAAAAATGAGTAGACACTACCGACACAATTTGAGGATGGAAAATCCAAGATGGCCACCTTCAAATTTACCAAGAATGCCAAAAAATTAGTCAGTTCTAGATTTTCATAATAAGAACCACCCCTGAAAATTTGAAATTGATCCGTCACACAGTTAACCAGAAAACATGTAAACAAAACTTTATAGACACGATTTGAGGACAGAAAATCCAAAATGGCTGCCTTGACATTTATCCAGAATGCCAAAAAACTAATGTGTTCTAGATTTTCATACTAAGAATCATCCCTGAAAATTTGAAATTGATCTACCAAACGGTTCACCTGAAAACGTGTAGACAAGACTTTACAGACAAGATTTTAGGACGGAAAATCCAAAATGGCTGCCTTGACATTTACCCAGAATGCCCAAAAACTAATCAGATCTAGATTTTCATACTAAGAATCATCCCTGAAAATTTGAAATTGATCTACCAAACGGTTCACCTGAAAACGCGTAGACAAGACTTTACTGACAAGATTTTAGGACGGAAAAATCCAAAATGGCCGACAATAAATAAGTGATTATGAGTTTTTGCTGATTTCTTTTTACAAAATTATCACATATAACTACTGTTAACAATAACATAGGCTTTTACAACAAAGTACACCTGAACTTATTTATGAAGCTACTAAATAGTTAAAGTTTGAAAACTGAAAAACACCATTCAATATGATACAAAGTATTATCGCGCACTAACTTTTCTTAAAACATTCATAATGGCTGACATGACTAAGCTAACAGGTCCAAAACCTAATCAAATCTAGACTGAAGTGAGCTGAACAGGATGTTAAAGTTTTAAAAGCAACTGTGAAGCCGTTTTTCTTAAAGTTTGCAGACAAGGATTTTAGCATTTGACTTCAAAATGGCCGACAGGAAGTAGGTATCGAGCTAATATTTTTTCACTCATAAGTTATCGCTGAAAATTTGAAGGTGATATCTGTAGCGGTTTTTGAGAAAACTGCAGGACGTACGGACAGACGGACAGACGGACAGACGCGCCTAGGCCGACAATATGGTCCCACACTATGTGGTGGGGACATAATATCTAAATCTAATTCAAAAGCTGAAGAATAGATCGGTTAGATTAATAACCATAAATAATCGCTTATGCTTAAGATTCTCACCTGTCAGTTTGACCACTGATTTGTGGAACATAATATTTGCAATCCTGAGGTATATCTCTGCCTTCATTTCTCTAGAGCTGATAATACCTGCCAAGTCCTCCAGCGCCTGAATCTACATTATAAAATAAAATATATATCATCTCAGTTACCAGCTTTTTTAGGGGCTAGAGCCTAGAACCCCCCCCCCCCTCAAGCTCCCCCTGCCCATACATAAATTTTTCTCATGCTGAACCAACCTCCCCTGTAATGAAAAGGACAGTGGCGGATCTGGAGGCTTACTAGGGAGGAGTCAAGGACCCACATTTCAAGTCAGAAAAAATGTCTGCCCTTGCGGGTGAAAATATTTTGAACCCTTAAAACAGGTCCACATTTTTTTAGAAGATATCTGGGGGGTACCAGCCCCTCTGGATTAAGACCCGTATATGGGTTTTATAAAAATGGCTTATTAATGCAATGTCTGGGCTGTGAGCCTGTGACTGATTCACTAATTGGGTGTTGACTAATATGTCATTGTAATGACATCAATAAAAGGTATATACTTCAGAAAATTGCAGATGATCATAAAAGGATTCACACTTCTTTATTTTGGGCATTTTTAATAATGTATGTAATGTATAAAACTCAATTTATTCAGTGTTCTCCACAGGTTTTTTTATCAAGTGGGTGCAAAATTCTCAATTTTACAATTCAGATTGAAATTGGTCCATTTTTGTCCATTTTTCAAGAACTTCCTCATTTTCAAGTGGGTGCAAATGGATTTTCGAGTGGGTGCAAGCTTATTTTTAAAATCTTAGGTGGGTGCTACACCCACATGCCTTAACGCACGGAAGATCACTGTTATTAATACTTAAGTTTCATATTCTATTTCATGTACCTTAGGAATAAACTCCAGATCATAACTGTAGTCCTTTGCCTCTTCTAGACAATCCTCCATGTGACCAGTCACGAGAAATCTCCATTCAACAGACTTCTCTGTACCATCAAGGTGGGCCTTCTCCAGGAAGCTAACTGCCTGTTTATAGTAGAATAAACACAAAGCTTCCTTCTCGTTCAGAGTTACACTCAATGTTGCGACCTGAAACAGGACTCAAGATTATGATTTCAGAGTTACACTCAATGTTGCGACCTGAAACAGGACTCAAGATTATGATTTCAGAGTTACACTCAATGTTGCGACCTGAAACAGGACTCAAGATTATGATTTCAGAGTTACACTCAATGTTGCATCCTGAAACAGGACTCAAGATTATGATTTCAGAGTTACACTCAATGTTGCGACCTGAAACAGGACTCAAGATTATGATTTCAGAGCTACACTCAATGTTGCAACCTGAAACAGGACTCAAGATTATGATTTCAGAGTTACACTCAATGTTGCGAACTGAAACAGGACTCAAGATTATGATTTTAGAGGTACTCAATGTTGCGACCTGAAACAGGACTCAAGATTATGATTTCAGAGTTACACTGAATGTTGCAACGTGAAAAAGGACTCAAGATTATGATTATCATGTCACAAAATCTTGATCTGATTATGTAACATACCAGGTACAGGGTACTGGGTATGGTACTAAATCCTCCACACTAGGTTTAAGCTGGGTACCCGGTACGAAAGCAAACGGGCAGGTACCCCATAAAAAGATCTAAAAGTACGAAAAAACAGGCAGGTACCCCATAAAAAGATCTAAAAACTGGTTATCTATTATAAACAAACCTTTTCAGCCTGCACAGGGTTGTAAGATTTGATGTCAAGTTGAAACGTTGTAGAAAAAATTTTCCGGGCATTTTATCCTCTAGATTTAAAATGGTTTTAAGCATGTGTGCACAATACAAACATATATCTTAAAAACCTAATTTGTGACCTGAACATCGAATTATACCTCGGTCGTTTTTCAAAACACTATCAACATATGCAAGTAGCAATAACGTACGGGGTAGGTACGAAATATTTCGAGGAAAATGTGTGACACATACGGTATCCACGTGAAAGGTCTGAATGAAATGCGTTCGTTTTTTCAGGTTTCGTTTTTGTATAAATGATACCCGCTTATTGGGTTCCCATTTTTGGAGTATACCTAGTTTTTTCAACAGGGTCAGGTACCTAGCTTGATCCCTGCATGGAGAATTTAGTACCTGTTACCCAGTACCTGTTTTTTTCTACAAACCCATATTAAATGGAGAATTTAACATATGCGACTTGTTTAGTGTCGCTTCATTCAGTGTGTCAACAGCGTTTTATTTGTAGAGGTGTCACGGATTCCCGATTTTGTTCCGATCCGCGGAATTATGCCCTCGGAATGGAACAAAAATTAAGAATTTCGGTTCGGTTCTGCATGGCACAAGAACATTATACCCTTTCACAACTTCTGGCCCTTGAATCTCTACAAAACAGCATTTTTCTTTCAATATTTTGTATCAAAAGAGGTTCATTCTTTTTACTCCTTCTCTTTGAAGAGTTTTCAAAAAATTTTCGCTACCAAATAGACCTAGATGATCAGATTATTTTAATCTAATACACACCCAGATAGCAGAGATAAGAGAGGTGATATAGCAAACTTCACAGTGACCAGTGACATTGACTCTGTCATCCAAGCCAGGCTGAGGGTACCTAGGGATCGCAATGCCAGATCAAATCCGACAAATGAGCCCTCGGTAACTGTAAGTAATGCTCCTGTTGCAGGTAGTTCATCATAGACTCTTGTTACTATTATCATATGAAGTCTGCAAGACTACAAACTGTGACCTAAAACTACACGAATACTGGAATTTATATCTGAAATAGGCATGTGTAATCAGTGCATCGTGAAATGGACAGACTTAATGAACCCTAGTTACTCTGTCTTCGACTGCTAGTATCTGCCTTATTACTTGCTAAATCTGTGTCAGTGAAATTGTCGAAATACTATATTATTCAGTTTTATATTCTATTTTTACGAAATATTTGTATAGCACCCTATTTTCCAGCTCTAATCATAACCCTTTTTGGTGCAAATTCTTTTGCATCTTTGTTTACATTTTACGCGGACGTCAGAGAAACACTGTTGACAAACTCTGCGCATGCGCGGATATTTACAGCTGATTTCTTCCTGAAGTTTAGACACGAATTTGAAATCTGGTAAAATGTGTACGATTTATACAACCCAGAGACTCCCAATAACATATAGAGGCTACACGACATATAGTTCAGGTATTTAACTCTTTACTTAACTTATTCTGGGTCAAACAATAAAGGACTGTCTAAGTTATTTGCAAAAAATGAGGCACTGTGTAAGAGCAATCCGTAGTGTATTTTCAGTCTTCACTGCACATATAAATCAAGATCGTAATACTCATGTATTTGTGCCTTTACTACGCTACAATGCTAATTTTAGCCCTTTGAGTTTTCACTGGATATTGCTTGGCCCAGAATAAAGTCGATACACCGTTATTAGTGCATGTAATGAAAAGCCAATAAGATTGTACAGCCTCAATAAGCGTCAATTTCTAAAATATAGCCTATTAGGCCTATATATAAACAAACTGGCCACATAACTTGAAGCTGGGTCTCACGCACTACTGTTTTTACATGTTTGTAACATGAATGCTAATAGTCGTAATAATGTTATACGTCCAGTAGGCACTTAGTACACGGGCAGTTATATAGGTGTCTTACTAGTCTTAGCTTATATCATGATGTATTCATATGTGGCCAGTAGGGGACTGAACAGTGTGTACATGAACATCAAATATGTTCATTCTATTTTTGCTTTCTCTTTTACCCATTTTACCTACAACTGTATTTATCTGGACATGTTTTTGTTTTTTGTTTTTTTTTTCTGGAGAACAACAGGTAAAATTGGTACTTTGTAAAATAAGTTAAACACAGTGTATGACAGTTCAGAGGTACTCATCATTACAGTGTAAATATGAATATATTTTACTTAACTAAGTGGACCTTTACCTGAATTTTTTGCATATTTCTTGCTTTTATTTTAACTGGATCTCAGAGGCAGACACTGTTAATATATAGATGTCTAAATTCCCATCAAACTATATGGACTCTTTTAAATTGAGGTGCAGCTACATGTGTAGTGTAACATTAATCAGAATATTCTTGCAAATATGCATACCTCAAATATGTTTTATAATCCATGTCAAGTCCCCCAAATGTTTCTTTAAATATTTCTATTCTCATTAAATGATACGGACTATTTAAAGAGAGAATCAGATCTAGCGTGCAGCCCAACAAAAAATTGTCTCAATTTTAGAATATTTCTGGCTCATGCCATTCCTTCTCATGTCTCTTTTCTTAAAATCATCAAGGTGCATACTTCATTTCTGGAAAATTAAAGAGATCTACAATAACGTATTATATTTCAATAAGAATGGCTACCATTCTTATCATTTGGGAGAATTTCAACATTTCTCACTCATTTTTTGCACTTTGAATCCTTTATAACTTCACCAATTGATAACATGGCATGAATCTTTTGGAAGATATTGTATTTGACATTGTAAGGATTAGACTGGTAGGTCAATTGTGCACATTGCCTATCATTTTGTCACCCCTATAGACCTGATTCTGCCTTTAAAGCACAATGTAGTAAACCCCTGTAAACAGGAACTTTAAACTACTGTATAGCTTGGTCAATATGATTAACCTTCATAAAATGTAATATGGATATTTTGATCTGTGTTCCATGTTTCCAATTAAAACCTTTTTTAGGAACCCTATATTATACATATGATTGGGATATTCATTTATTTTATTGTAATTAAGAACTACTGTATATAGTATTACTGATACTTGAATCTTCTAATTGACTCAATCCCCCTGTGAATGGGTGAGTCTGATCACTTAGGCTTACACCCCAGTCTAGTTTAAACTTGAGTTATTTTTTTTTGTCTTCTCAGAAATCTTGAATATGCATCTAAATTAGATGCTCTTCTATATTACTGCAATTGTGTAATAGTACTGCTATATAAATCAGAAAAATCAAATGTACTCTATTTATACTGCTGCCCTTTCAGGATAGCTCTTCAAAGTCAGACAGTAGTTAGCTATGATTAAAACATCCAAGGTGTTGGTGGTGCCTGGGGAGGGGGCTTGGCTTGGGAAACAAGGTATAGGATAGATAGTATTATGCAATGGAGGGCTGCTATTGGCTTATTTAACTATGGTAGCAAATCAATTAAAAAATACTTTAAAGTTACTTCTAAGGATGGAAGAACTATATACCCTTATCCCATTTTAACCATTTTACTCATGGTCACAACCCTGATTTTCATGTACAAGATGAACTTTGGATTAGAACTCATATTTGCATCCATCTTAGGATTTTTCCTAATCACATACTCGATAGTAACTATTGTTTTACTACCACTAGTTTGTTTATACATAATTAAACTCCAAGTGAAGTCAACTTTTAGCCCCTATACCACCATATTATTTCTTAAACTGCTGCTAAGCTCCTTAGTTATACCAGGGCTACTGACCCTTACATTTACACCAATCGTGACATCAATTCTTCTTCTAATGTCAGGAGATGTGCATCCTAATCCAGGCCAAAATGAAAAACTAACACTTCTGCTTTCAAATATAAATAGTATAACTGCAAATGAAGGTGCAAGGTTTGAATTATTGAAGCGACGAGCAAGGGAAATTAATCCAGCTGTAATCAGCCTCTGTGAGACTGGTATTTCTAAACTCAAAATGGAATCCGGAGACTTTGACATCGAGGACTATAATTCTATTTATAATGAATCAGGTAGAGGTTTAATTATGTATATACACAAAACTTTGGCATCTAAACCATTACACCTAGACTTTTATGTTAAAGGTACTGAAATACTTTTTTCTGAAATTAAGATACAGCAGAAAAGACTACTGCTAGGTGTATGTTATAGATCACCCAGCCTTAATGCTAAAGAAACAAAAGAATATTTCTCATTATTTAAGCAACAATTATCCAAAATTGAAAATTCTGTTCCAAAATTTGACCATGTAGTCATGATGGGAGATTTAAATGCCAAAAATTCTGAATGGTTTGACAACCAGGATGACAACTTAGCAGGAAAAATATTACTTGATTACCT